TCAATGGCGACCCACACCCTAACGTTGTCCGTGTTGGAGAGCACTTTGTTGTCAAATTCGGGGTAGACATTGACCTCCGGGACGGTGAAAATACACTCTTCGTCCAGCAAGCTACGAGCCTATCCGTTCCGACCATCTATGCCATTTTTCACGACGAAGCGACTGGTTACAACTTCATTGTCCAGGAATACATCTCAGGTCAGGGGTTGGACGAGTATTGGCCAAAGGCTAATCAAAGTGGCAAGGAGGCGGTGGTCGCCAAACTCCGTCATTACTTTGACGAACTCCGCAGTCTCCCATCACCCGGCTATTTCGGTGGCCTATGGAGACAACCCATCCTCGAGGGCTATGTGACAGGTGGACAGAGAGCGCTTGAGAAGGGTGACGTTCCGCCATGCGATACGGAGGAGGAATGGGTCGACAGCATGATTCGAAACGCCGACGCGAATTACTCCGTGAAAAATCGTGCATTTTTCGAAAGCAACAAGAATTTGCTGCACTCGATTTTCCAAGGCCATGACTGTGTCTTCACACATGCCGTTCTTCATCCGTCCAACATCATTGTCCGCGACGATAATACGGTAGTGGTAATCGACTGGTCGTTGTCAGGGTGGTATCCGAGCTACGTCGAGTACTGCAACACGATGATGTCTCATGATCATCACCCCACCGATTTGACTCTGTGGATACCACGAGTTTTCAAGGAATATGTTGCTGAATATGGGTGGATGCTTCATATGTATGCATGGATTCACTGGGGCGGCTGGGGGTAGTTGGCTTGAGGCCATTTCGGGCACTGATGGTATTGCTGCATGCCACGACTGGCCCCTCGCAGTGTAGGACAAAAAGAGACAAAGAGGAAAAGCAAAAAGGAACAGCCCGCTAGCTCGAGATTCTATCAATTTGTAAGATGGGCCTGGAGATCGACCCTCCTGGTAAGCTCTTTCCAATTGCTCCCATTCCCAGACGTGTCCCTCTAGGTTGTCTCCGTTCCTCGTGACCAACCAAGGATGGGATCTCGCAAAGCCAGCTGCCAACAGTTCTGGCGATGATAACCAGTTACCACAGCCTTGCTCGTGCCAGCAAAGGCAAGAGTGGATCTGGGGTCCAAGCGAACGAGGTATCCCACTTAGCAGGAGACCCACATGATATGCTAATCTATATGTGGACTAGAGTACTATAGGGTACGGTGACCCCGCTTTTCTCGCCCAGCCTGATGCAAGTTTGGCAGGGAAAGACGTGATGGTTATACGAACCTCTAGTGCCTCAGTCTACTTCTCTCTCCATTCATGTACGAGGTGCAAAGACAACATCTCAGTTCGTCGGCCGGCTGGGCTTTCCAGCTTTATCCGATTGCGCAATTTTAGTGCCGAACACAATATCACGCCCAACTCGGTGCCAGTGAGGATAGGATGGCGCGATCAGACTTGCGAGTGTGTCAGGTGAGGGTATTCATCGACTATATCTTTCTCTGCATGCCACCTTGTCCTTGCGACGATGATTTTCAAGAAAATAGCTGAGTAGAACAATCCTCAACAACCGTTGCCGTCTCCACAACTGCCTCTCGTGACTAGCCAGAGCTATCAGACCAGCCGGCAGGTTCGCAGTGCTTCGCCTTCGTGTTCCATCGTTTATATCTTGTAAATATCTACCGGGCCAATCATATTCTCTTAACTCTTCCCCACCAAGAACCACTATGTCAACCACCCCAAAGGAAGTGGACGCGGTTGTTGTCGGCGGAGGATTTGGTGGTATACGTCTCGTCAGCCTTCTCCAGGACAAGCTCCATCTCGAGAATGTCGTCGCGATCGAGAAGGGCAGCGCGCTAGGAGGAACCTGGTACTGGAACCAGTATCCCGGGGCCCAAACTGATACTGAGAGTTGGGTCTATCGCTTCTCCGACGACCGTGACCCGCCCAAGTGGAACACGCGATATCTGAAGGCCGAAGACCTCCAGGAGCAGATCGTCGACACGGCCAAGAAGTCCGGTGTCTTGAAGAACTATGTCTTTGAGAACGAAGTTGTCTCGGCCTATTACGACGCGAAGAGCAATCGTTGGCTTATTGCCACAGACAAGGGCCTCCAATTTTCTGCCACCTATTTTCTCACCGCCCTTGGGATTCTAACCAACCCCTACATTCCGGATTTCCCAGGACGGGACTCCTTCAAAGGTCTATCTTTTCATTCTGCTCGGTGGCCCAAGGGTCTCGACGTCGCGGGAAAGCGTGTTGCAGTCATCGGAACTGGGCCATCCGGAAGCCAGATCACCGGGTCGATCCATCACCTCGTCAAGCAGATCACGGTTTTTCAACAGCGGGCACAATACATTGTCCCCGTCAATGATCGACCAGTGACCGAGGAAGAAAAGAAGGAGATTTACGAAAACTACGATAAGATCTGGGACACGGTGTTCAACTCGCTCTTCGCCATGGGTTTCACAGAGAGCAAGAAGTCGGCGCTCGAGGTGTCGGAAGCAGAGAGGAGAGAAGTCTATGAACGCATCTGGAACAAAGGCGGCGGCTTTCGGTTCTTCTTCGAGACCTTCAACGACCTCGGGACAAATGTGGAGGCGAACGAGACGGCAGCGGCATTTGTTCGTGAGAAGATTGCCCAAATTGTCAAGGATCCTGAGACGGCAAAACTGCTCCAACCCAAGGGACACTATGGAGGACGCCCTCTTTGCACACAGGGGTATTATGAGGCCTTCAACGAGCCCAATGTCTCTCTCGTGGACGTAGCCAACAACCCCATCGCCAAGATCACTCCAACGGGATTGGAACTTCAAGACGGCAAGGCTTTTGACTTTGACATCATTGTGTATGCCACGGGGTTCGACGGGGTCGATGGCGCCTATCATAACATTGACATCACTGGACGTGGGGGACTCAAGCTGGCAGACGCGTGGAAGGGAGGGGCCAACGCCTTGTACGGCGTCAGCGTGGCCGAATTTCCCAATTTTTTCACCGTTACGGGGCCTGGCGGTCCGTTTGCAAACATGCTCCCCTCGATCGAGTTGCAAGGGGATTTTATCATCAAGCTCATCCAGGAGGCAAGAAACAGGGGCGACAAGACCGTCGAGGCCGACGCCAAAGCTCAGGCGGAGTGGGCTCAAGTCGTCCAGCAGATCTCCAAGGCGACCGTCTTTGACAAGGTCAAGTCATGGATCCAGAACGACAATGTGCAGGGCAAGAAGAAATACAGTGCCTTCTTCTTGGCTGGCCTGCAGAACTATATTGCCAAACTGGCCGAGGAGACCGAGACCAGGTATCCATCGTTTGTGTTTGCCAAGTGAAATCCAGTCAAGCCAAGTAGGAAAGTGGGAAGAGAAATGGGATCGACTGCGGTCGAAATAGACGGGATATACCTAAACACCTCACCTCAGCATCTGCTTAGGGTGAGTCTTGTCCGCCCTGGCAGTGACATTACTGGCATATGAACCGTGTCCAACCACAATTCTTGCTCTATAGCTGTTTTGAAGACAGTACAGCTTCTAGATGCCGTTGAGGCTGAGAAATTGTATACTTTGCCGGGTAAGGCTGTACTAAATAAACCCGAAAGGTGGAGGATGGCCAGATCCAAATGTCGGGCAGCCTACTGACTGTGGCCCCATGCATGCACCCCGCGCTGCCTTGCCATTGAAGCAGCATTCGCTTGTTGGGGTCTCCCGCGGGGTTTCCTGGACATGGAGAGGCTCGCTTCTGATAGGACGATTTCGGCCCGACGTCGGCGTTCGAGGGGCCTTTTGCGCATTGTACTCCCTAGGGAAGGGTCGCAGAAGTCGCCTTTTCCTGCCTCCTTGGATTGTTAACGGGATATTCCTTCGCGGTATTTATCTTGTACGGGCCTGAAGTCGGCTCAACTTCCTTCATCCAAGGGTATCGTCTCCGGAGTACCTACGTCTCTATATAGTGCTGATCGTTGCACGTTGGATTCGTCTGCTTCCTATCAGAAGACTCGCTCGACCCGACCACTGCCCGAAGTTGCCCCGGACTTTGCATGGTCGTGCATGGCCTAGGCCGCGATATCCTCTCTCTCACACATTCAGATTTCTTCTCGTTTCCTGAAAACTGTTCGGTCGCAGGTAGGTAGGTGCACATATAGACAAGCGCCCTCTGACCACATGATGTCGGCGCTACTTGAGCAAATTCTTGCCCAGGTAGTCTCGGACGAAAAACCGATTGTCCATCATACTATTCTAATTAGCCGCTCGCCGCTTTTACTTCTCGAGAGCGTGATCATTAAAACCACAAGATCGTCATAGTCTGTCAGGGGCTGGACGAGAACCCAGATACTGCTGAGTAGGTGGTAGAGGTGCAGCCAGGGAGTTATATACCGTTCACGTGATTAGCGTAATGTGAATACCCCCCTGACCAGTACCAGGGCGGCAGAGTTGGCACTTTTGAGGATTCATTGTGTGAGGCGGCCCTTTGTGGTTAGTCTTTTCTGTAACGAAAGCAGCTAACCAGAGATGGAAGCCATGGGCTAGTGCCCGCTATATTCAGAACTCCTGGCTGGCAAATCCGGGTATAAACTGCAACTTTAATCCATATTTACCCGCCTTCACGACAATAGTGGTCGATTTGACCGTCAATCTCAGTGTCGCCCGTCGAGACCTTTGGCTCGTACAGTTTGGCTCGTAGATACAGCAGAGCGGACCTAGACGAAGCTTCCCGACATGGTGGCGTGGACCAGCCGATGCTTGACCTGTAGGCAGAGACGGGTCAAGGTGAGTATATCTGCCACGGCCACTCATAGAGGAATGATGACTGAGACCGAGGCAGTGTGACCAACAATGGCCAGTGTGTGGTGAGTGCCGGAGGAACAAGAGACGATGTCCCGGGCCACCAGAACAGCTCAAGTTCCACGCGGAGAATGTCAGACGACTGTCTCTGCAGACGACATCCACCGGTGTCATACGTTCATCACCATCGTTCGTAGGTCGTCCGGTGCCGGCGAATCGAGCGACCAAGATCGGCGCGGATCTCGTACGAGTGGTCATCATGACCTTGGGAAATTCGAGTCTGTCGAAACTGTTAGCGCACACGCCCGCCATGTTGGATGACTCATCAGCTCTGACAGCGGCGGTGGCGTGTCTTTCGGACACGCGGAAACGACAAATGTTGGCGACCGCCGGACCCAAAGTCGACCCAATACTGTATGGTCATACCCTACGTTGCCTTAGGATGGCATTGGAAGATGTGGTGCAGTTGAAGAGTCGACAAACCTTGCTCGCAACCATAGTCATGGCTCAAATTGACGTGAGCATTTTCATGTTCTCTCAACAAAAACTGACTTTGTAACAGGCCGCGACCTTGACAACCACACTACCCAATCTACAAGCCACTTGGTCGGCTCATTTATCAGGAGTCGGCTTTCTACTCGAACATCAAGGGGTCGAGACAGTGGGAGACGACTTAACCTCGGACATTATCACCGATGTCCTCCAACCGTTGGTGAGGAACACGTTTTTAGCTTGAATGTGGGGCTTTTTGGGGGGGAGGGAAATAACAAGTGTTCTAGGCTGCTCATTTTTACAGTCGACATCAACCCTTTTTTCTTGGGTCCCCCAAGTGGAAGGTGGCGTTCTGCGAACGGCCGGCAGATTCACTCTGTCAACGGTTGTCGGTCAAAATCTTTCGAATCATGACCGTGTGGCCTGACGTGATGGGAGGCTTACGAGGTTACCACTGTGGAAAGGTAGAATTCGACAGTGTACTGTCAAAAGTCATGTCCATGTCGGCCACGCTCGAATCGATGGAAGGACAGGTGCAGATGATCCTAGCAGATTCGGCGCAGGTTCGTACAAGACCAGCCACTGCCAAAGACTCGCCTGTCGACGAGGTGTATCAACTCGACGACTCGACCATCCCTCGAGTTTGTTGTTACCACGCCCTCTGCACCATTGTCACGCTCAACATGTTGGCTGCACTTCAAGGGTGGAGTGCGGAATTGCGGGAGCATGCGGCCTCGGTGAGCAAGAGGATTTGGATGTGTCACGAGTACGTCCTCGGCGTGGGGATTTTCGGCCTGCATTACTACCCCACGGCACTCCTGCTGTCGTACGGCAGCGCCGAATCCGACCGAGTCCGAGATTGGATCGTATCCCTATTAAATCATCTCCAGGGAAGGACAAACCCAGCCACCGATGCCTTGTGGACGAGAGACGAGCTCGCCGCCAGGTGCTTCGCCGTGAGTGGCAGGCAGTCTTCGGGGGTAGAACATTAGGGAGGGATCAGAGCATCGGTTAGCACTTTGGGTATTCACAGGCTAAACCATGCAACATACCAAGACGTCTACCAACGTTTCCCGGGGGGGGGGGGGCGATTCTAATACTCAACGAATTTTTGGGACATAAAGTACTATCTGCTGGCTTTCAAAATATCGATAGCAATGTGAAATTTGGAGAATGAAAAGTGACTATGGCATGTTTCCTTGTCTGCTTCGCGACACTATTAACCGTCTCTCGTCAGTCTCCTTGACCAGCGAAAGACTCCATGTGTCTCTGGTCAATGAACATGAGCACCCGTCTTGACCGGTTTGATGAGGCCTTGATGGGAGAGTTCACTGATGAGATCCTGTAACATGAAATCACAACCAGCCGCGGCCATGATGTCGACAGACCATGGCATCGATTGAAGTTTGAGGGTCGATTCGGACATTGTCGCGTTCATGGCCATTTCGCCGAGAGTAATGACGTAGTCTGGAAGGCCGGCCAGGCTGGCGATTCTACCGGGATTGACATAGGTGGGAGACAATTGGGCGATTTGTTGAATTGTGTCAGCCAAAATCTGTCGGGCTTCTAGACAGGTAGCGCCAGACGTGTTGGAGTTGTCCTCGCCGCAAAGCAGAGTCACGTTGAGTTGCCCAGCCGCCTGTTCCGCCTGCGCGGCGCGGGTGAGAAGTTCCTTAATATAAACGTTGTTCAGGTCGAATGCGACGTTTGGTTTGTAGTTGACGTTGCCATCGGGCGGGCTAAAGTAGAGATAGACGGCGTCGGAACACGACTCGTTGTCGGGCCGGAGAAAGTGGTCGGCAGCCCACTGCCGCACCGATTGGACATCCGACAAGTGTTGTTGGTGGAGATCCGGCGTGATGCTCTCGTTGACCGTGAGCCAATCCCCGCGGGTGTTGGGAACCATGGCCGGGAACTCACCGTCGTGATCGGCCATCCACGATTCGACGTATCGTCTGCCCCAGTCGTTCCATTGTTCGTACATGGTAATGTTTTGGTAAAGTGCCCCCGAGAACGAGGCGAGACGTTGGCCGTCGGCGTGTGGCACGCCGTTGGTCGAGTTCCACAGACTGTCAATCGAAAGTTCCGCAACGTTGGCTCCGACGGCTTTGGCCATGGCCGTGACAAAACTCAAAGCCTGTTGCGCCCACGCCGCTTCGTCACCTGTGGCGTTGGCGTACGAAGCGATTTGTTCGGCCTGAACGTAGACTTTTTTGGGAAACGAAGGGTATTCTTTGGCGAACCCGGCATACAAAACCTTGTTGATGTCGGACCAGAGTGAAGGATCCCTCACGAGCACTCCGGCTGTGTCCAGAGTGGTGGACAGCGACAAGACACCAGTCAAGTCGACAGCACCCGTCGATGGTCGACTTCCCATGACGCCGTTCTTGCACGCCGGTGATCGGATACTGCCACCCGTGTCGCTGCCCAAACTCACGTCCAGCCAGTCATAACTGGCCACGGCGGCTCCAGACCCTCCTGAACTGTCGTCGGGCGAATTGTACCCGTCCCCTCGAGGGTTGAAAGGCAAGAGGTAATCGACGTGTTCGGTCATGTCGGGGCCGGCAAACGCAAACTCGGACAAGTGGTTTTTTCCAATCACCACCGCACCGGCGTCGATCAACCTTTGCACGGGGTAGGCAGTGACGTTTGTTGCGGTGGCCATTGTGTAAAACGCTCGATTTCCCCCGCTCGTCTTGAGTCCTTGTAGGTCGTACAAATCTTTCACCGCCACTCTGAACCCAGCCAACGGTTGTTCAGGGGTACGGGTAAAGTAGAGGCGAGAGGGCAGACCGATGGTCAGAGCTCCGGCAGACATGGAAGCGGCAGCGAGTGGGTGATGGAAACCTTGTTCATCTTGGTACGAGGACTAGGATATGTCAGAAGGAGAAAAAAGAAAAACAGGGGATCAACAGGGGCTTTCGAAGGGAAGATGAGGTCGGAGAGACTACCTGGATAAACGCTTGATTAAAGTCATTGACCAGTTTGTAAGCTCGGTATACGTCTCCAGTGAATTTGTGGACAAAATACGGTCCAATCGGGACATTTTCAATGCTCGATTGGTTGAAATCGCCGTAGAAAACGTTGTTGATGGAATACTCTGGAGCCAGACCCTTGACTTTGTCCAGGTCAAGCTTGGTCTTGGGGCATTGCAAGAACAGAGCTTGTTTAAAGATGTTAGCATGAATAAATGAGGTCGGCAGAAAGGCTTGCTCTCACCATTGGCAAACTCAGGAGTCCACACGTCGTCGCGTGCGAGGTAGGTGTCAAAGGTGGTTTTGAGCGTTTGTTCGTCGACTTTGCTGTCGTTGCATTGAACCACCGTCAGGGGCAGAAATTCGTCGTCCGCCTGGATCGAATTTACATCCCATGACCTGATGGACCAAGATTTGGTCGGGGGTAAAAAGTAAGAGTCGACCCCGAGGCTGACCTGTCTCGAGACCGAAGACAGGACGCAGTTGACGACGGACGAGAATGTCAACGTAGAGGAGACGAATGCGGGAAAAAGTTTCATTTTGTCCAGAGTTGTTAGCAGTAGTATAGGGACAGCACGGAAAATGTAATATAAAGAACGAAAGGCTTCTCTTGCTACGAAGCGTGGCCCTGGTGTTGGATATTTATGCTGAAGAGAGCAAGACGCATTCCATAAATTATTTCAATCACTGAGGAATGATCTGCACGGAGGATCACAACCGAGATGAAGATCACGGGGGCCATAACACTGAAAAAAAAAGTCCAACCGAGGGCGCCTTGAAAATTCCGTCGATTTCCAATGGTCGATTGTGGTCGAGGGAAAGGGGCTATATACCTCGTTGCCGTGGTAGACTATTCCTAATCGAGTATACAACGGCCTTTTGCGTAGTATTCGACTTCTATGATGAGACATTCGTGACGTAAGTATTGAGAACAAAACCACACATTAATGCTCCTTCTTTTTGGCGCCCAAGGTCCTACAAATAGATGGCCTTACAGGACACAGGGAGGAGGCTTTGGAAAGTGCATCCTAACCTGGTTCCTTGCAATTTGACATTTGGTTCACAACCCCGTCGACATGGCCATTTCTTCCGACGTTTCTTTCATCACCACCGATGGCGTTACTCTACGAGGCAACTTGGTGACTCCTGACGATGTCGCTGGAAAACTCTGCTGTGTCATTCTCACCCACGGATTTACCTGTGTCAAGGAAATGGGACTGATCGACATCGCCACTCACCTGTCTTCTGCGCTTCCCCTGGCTTGTTTGGTGTATGACCATCGAGGATTTGGTGCGAGTGACACGGCTCCCGCCTATGTACGTGGTGAAATCATTCCTTCGCAGCAGGTCCTCGACCTCCGCGACGCTATCACCTTTGCCTCGACCTTGTCGGTGGTCGACCCGGATCGAATCGCCCTTTGGGGATATTCCTACGCCGGGGGACACTCTATACAAGTCGCCGCCAGTGACCAGCGGGTCAAGTGTTTGATCGTTCACGCCCCTTGTATCGACGGCGTCGAAACCGTCCATCGGGTCATTCCCGCCCACAACCTCGCCACGTTGAGACGACTTTTTGCCGCCGATCGAATCAACCGGATCAAGGGAGAACCCCCAGGAACGATACCGGTGGTGACGCCAGACGAGGGCGGGACAGCGGCATTGGCCAGTCAAGACAGTTTTGCCTTTTTTCATCGATTCGATCCAACAGTCGATCATGACAGTTCTTGGGTCAACAAGGTGACCTTGAGATCGTGAGTAATATATTCACAAAGGGGGTCTGGTTGATCAAGCTAATCTGTTTGTTGTACAGACTTGAAGAAATGTTCGGTTACGTTGCGCCTCTATCCTCTCTTTCCCACGTCACTCCAACTCCGATATTAATGGGAGTTGCTTTGAAAGATACCAACGGTGAACCCGACATGACTTTACGACACTACAGCATGATGCATGAACCAAAGGAATTGTGTCTCGTTGACTCGAATCATTACGGCTTTGTTTCCCCCGGCAACACCAGAGACATCTTGCAGAAAAAGGAGGTGGAGTTTTTGAAAAAATATTTGTGATACGGGCAACTTTTTGTTCTCTTTCAATTGCACATCAATCTGTGCTTAAGAAGCCGGTGTCGGGACAGCTTATGTAAAACTCCCCTGCATCAAGTTTATTTCTTTGCCAGAGCTGTCGCAATCATCTCAACCAATCCGATAGCCTTTCTTCTTTCAGTTCTCCAAGGCATTTCTACGACGGCGGGACCGTGTAACCAGGGTTGTTGACTCAGGATAGATTTGAACATAAATTTCAACCCTTGCACAGTCGTGGTCAACGGTCCACAGTCCGAAGGAATCGTGTTTTGTCCGGGCATGCTGTTGGCGGCACCGAGATATGGCAAAAGACCTCACGATTGTCGGATACCAAAGAGACCATCAAAGGCCGAGAGGATTCTTTTGACCGGGTCAGATCATCAGACGATAGACAAGTTTGTCGCTCACCTAATGCTGTCCTCTATGTCGGTGTCTATAGTCCTCGCATGCTGATGAGAGCACCCTCCCCTCTCGCGCCCCCCCCCCCCCCCCCCCCCCCCCCCCCACCACAACGGGGCGGGGTCTGTATAAGTAAGACCATCGCGGCGACTGAATGGAGCACGTTAAACCACCAAAACGCGACAAGGGGACGAGGTGTTTCGGGATCCTGAACATGACTAGGACCGCGACGACGTTGGTCTCAGTAAGAACGTGGGTATAGGGCGATGGCTCATTCTCCGCGGTCCTGAGGGTTCCAGGACGAGGAACATCTTTGGGACACCACAAAAGCTCCGTCTGGTGTTTTGGCGGATGGTCTTGCAGGTCCTGTTCGATCTCCATCCCATACTGGAGGCGTGCGGGGCACACGGGATCAAAGTGCTGGTGAGCTCTGATGGCGGAGCAGGGACCAACTCCCAGGTGGACTTCATGGTGGGGGGGATCCGTGAGATCGCAGACCCCGCGTCGTGGGGTTTCCGCATCGCGACAATCACTTTTGACGCGCAACATCGGGGAACCATCTTGTCCCAAATCTCCGCAGGCAAGACGAGACCCTGCGGGCCCGTGCCGGAACTGAAGCCCGAGGACGTCGACGATGCGGCCTGTATCGTGGCCCAAATGGGCGCCGAGCCGTTTCTGGAGGTCTTGCGCGATCCTTCGATCGATATCATCATGGCGGGACGGTCGTTACGACCCGGCTCCCTTTGCGGCGTTTTGCATCCACAATGGCGTCCAGCCATCCGCGGCCTGGCACATGGGTAAGATTGTCGAATGCGGCGGCCTTTGCACCACGCCCAAGGGCCGGTCGATCCTGGCGACCATGTACCACGATAGGTTTGTCCTCACGCCCACCAATCCCAACGCTCGATGTACTCCCCTGACGGTCGCGGCTCATACCATGTACGAGAAGACCCGACCAGACAGACTGCCCGGACCGGGCAGGGTCTTGTATCTTGATAGCGCAACGTACCTACAAGAACCCGACGGGCGAAGCGTCGTGGTCCAAGGGGCCGAGTTCAGACCGACTCGGCAGCAGTATGAAGTGAAGCTAGAAGGTGCGCGAAAAGTGGGATTCCGATCCATTTTCATCGGGGGCATCCGAGACCCGTTTCTCAACGACTGCATCGACGACTTTCTTGGTCAGCGTCAGAAAGACGGTCAAGGAAGCCATGCCGGATCTCGACGAAGTAGGTGGCCCACAACTCTTCTTCCACCTCTACGGCAAGAACGCCGTCATGGGTCCGCTGGAGATGTCGACCCAGACGCCCCACGAGATCGGGGTGCTGCGTGAAGCTGTCGCGCAGACGCCAAAGGCTGCGAGTGCCCTTGCTGAATACTCGCGCACCCTGGTCCTCCATGGGGCCTACAAGGGCCAACTTGCCACAGCTGGCAACCTGGCGTCACCGCTGACCCCGCTCGAGTCCGACGTTGGACCGGTCTTTGAATTCAGCCTCTATCATCTGATGGAAGTCGATGACCCCAAGGCACTGTTTCCGATTCATGTCTTCTCGGTCGGGACGATGACGACGACGACGGGAGAACGGTCCGACCAGGCCGTTGTGGTCATCAAGAAGGAAACCCGTTCCTGAATCGGTCCTGCCAAAGAAGAGCTCACCGGCCCAAGCTAACGGGACGTCTGCGATATGTAAGTTTGTCACTCGAAGAGCTCAGCTGCACACCTCTGTACACCGTGGGTGCTAACGACGTGATGTGATCCCCAGCAGCATTGACGTCAATAGCGGAACCGGGTCCAAGAGCCATCCGAGATCTCGCGGCGGTTGTCCGGTCCAAGAACTCGGGGCCCTTTGAGATCACACTGGACATTCTTTTCGCCAATGACTCGGATTTCGAGCGGGCACGGAAGTCGAATGTGCTGACGGCCGAGACGGTGCAGGAACTCTACCGTCTCAAGCCCGCAGACGACATCATCACTTTGATGTTCTTCGAGCCCGCTCTCGGCCGGAAGTGCACTTTCAAGAGACCGTGGCCGCAGGGCAGCATTGGAGAGCGGGACACATTTGGCACTCAACTGCATGCTCCGTTGTTTTCGGATGTCATTCCATGAGGGAGAAAGGATCAATTGCAGAAAGAAATTCGCCCAGATCAACAGTGGATATAAAAGAATACAGCCAGCGTCCGTGAATGAGAACATATCCTAGTTCCGCAACCCGAGTACAACACCAAACCGACTCCAGACCAAGCCAAACACCGACTTCCTCACAAACAACACACACGTACGTATCATGGAGAGATTCGTACAACATGGGAACCGTCAAATAGGTGAATACCCTGCCGAAGTGCCGCCTTTGCAACAGCCTGTGAAAGCACAATTGAGTTTGGAGGTGCCCCCGTTCCCGTCTTCCTTGGACTCTGACTGAGGCCCGGACGCTCAGATTCTTACACTCTTCTTTCTTTTCCTTTTCCTTTTTCTTTCTTTCCACGAGCGGGACCCGTCGTGCTCGGTACTGGTGATGAAACATGGTCCTGGTCCGGGTCCTCTGTGGGTTCGTCAACGTGGCCAAGTGGCGTAGCCAAGCCGGTGTCGCCGTAGAGACTTTGTAGCATCTTCGCCGCGGAAGCTCGTTTCTCAGGCTCTACAATAGCCATATCTTTTATGGTAGACAACTCCTGGCATTTCGCTGCATCGCAGGCGGATTGGATTATCTCGGCGGTTGTGCGAAACTCTTTGGCCCTATAGCCATCCACGTTCAGGACATGTGCCATAGTGACGAATAGAGACCAGATGTCGGCTTTGGAGGTTTGGAGACTACCGTCACTGCACAGAACCTCAGGAGCGGCATACCGGGGTGACCCCACCAAAGTCATGGCATTGCTTGCAAAGTTTGAAACGCCAAAGTCGGCGATCAGAAAATGGAAGTCTGTCTCCGAGTTCTTGGTGAACAGGATATTCGCTGGTTTGAGGTCTCGATGGACGATACCCTTACTGCTGAGATAATCAATTCCCATAAGAACATGATGTAGAACTGTATCAGAAAGGCGACGGTTGGCGTTTGGCTCGAAGACACCTTGACCAATCAAATCATCAACACTCCCATCCATCAGGGCCATGAGTATTTCAAGATGTTCATCGACTGGCTGAACACCGATGTACTCAACGATATGCGGCTGTGATGGTCAGCTAGGTAGATCGGGGGAAGGGGTATGGACACACATGAGAGAGCTTAGCTAAAATTTTGATTTCTCGCTTCAACATCGTCCATTGCGAATCATTCAATGGGTGGAGAGACCCAGAGTCTTCACAACCTTGACAGCCATAATGCGGCCAGTGTTGGTATCAATCGCCTTCCAGACCTTCCCAAAGGCCCCTGCACCTACCTGGCGGAGCTTCACATATTTGTGACTCGCAAGTGGTCCGCCAGGTGTGTGAATTCTTGTTAGATATCTCGAAGCTGCTGCGGTCGGCGTCTCGTCCAGCGTCCGGGCGTGACGAGGATTTTCACTTCGACTAGCCACGACGTTCATCAGACTGATGTCTTTTTTGTGCCAAAACAGCCGGAACAGAAGCAGTTCGCAATTGTCGCCTCCAATGCCTAAAAGTGTATTCATCTCGGGGGTAACAACAACTCGACGGATTTGGCCTCGTTCAAAGGGTCGAGAATCAGGACCGAAGAACTTGGTTGGCTGGGTTGATGATCGGTCATACAAGAGTATCGTACCAAAATTTTCGTTGACTTCGAAGGAGCAATGTATGCGCGAAATGGTTGCTCCTTCCAGTGTGATGTCGGCACCACTGCGTCCAAGTGTCGCCAGGGTATTTTGTGATGATGAACCGATGTGCGGACCCACATTAATTCCAATCTTGCTCGAATTGTTGGGCAGTTGGACAACAGAGATCAGGTGGCTATTGAGGGAGTGGGTCACCGCCGCTTCTGCCCTTCCATTGATAGGGACGAGGGAAAAGACTGTGGAAGGGTGGGGTTCTGGCCGAACGTCTGGTGAAGCCATTTTCTTTACTATCGAGATGGGAATTCGTTCCAAGAGAAGAAAGGGATTGCAGGGAGAAGGATTGAAGACTCTATCAAGAGGATAGAAGCCGTGCCATGCTCATCCATCCTTTTTAAATAGATGCTCGTCAGATTGCTGCGTAACCTTTTATGAGTACATGCTCCAGACGCGTTGGCAGAGTTAAGTGTGCTGCTCTGGATACATGCATCACGCAATTATCCGTAAACGGCCAGGTGGATTCCAATGAGGCCAAGATGCCCTGGACACCTTCTGAACGGTGCTCCACATCGAGCGCCGATAAGGTTTCATCCCTTTGATAGAGATGCCACGGTCCACGATCGACGATCCACTCCTTCCCACGCTAGCCTGAACGGAGAAGCTGTAATCCGTGGTAACGGAGGGCACTGTATTGTGTAACTATGAACGAGTGCCTGTACCGCTATGCAAGGGCGACTGAATTCCAAGGCGCAAAGGGGCCTGGCAACGCTCTTTCCTTTGTAAACAAGTCATTGCCAGGCCTGTTTTCATGTCTCCTCGACGCTTCAGGCACGACTTTCACGGTGCCCGCGGGTCAAATGGCAGCAACTCCTGAACACAGATTCAGGCCAGGTTGCCGCATCATTTTCGAAAGAAAGGAAAAAAGCCCACCGCTATCTGAGTTGCTCTTCGCAGCCCTTGAGAGACTCCAAAACAGGCCTGAGGAACTTGTGCGCGCCCGAGCCCGATTCGACAGGTCCCCTGGTGCCTCTTCGTCAACACCATGTTCCTGCACTGCCAGCACTGCCAGCATCGCCAGCACCCCAGAACCCTGGCCTGAATTCGACGAAGCCCACGAATTTGAAAGACATTTTGAGCTCCTTAAATCATCACCTTGCCATCAGTTCCATTACCAGGCAAATAGGGAGCACGTACGGATCATTGAGCAGTCCATTCGGAGTATGGATCGGCGCAAAGAAACGTTGCCGTATGATGGTGGAGATCTTTCTGACAACGCAGCACGGAATATCATGAACAACTGGATTGAGCAAGGTATCTGGAATGACACATGGACCACAGACTGTGTGGGGGTCGTTTGGAAGCACGAGGAGGAACCTCCTGCCACTGCTCCTCCTCTGCTCTGTACAAGGGAGGGGGAGCCGGTGACTGAAGAACAACGGGCTACACACGCACAGGAAGCTGCGGCATCTCGCCCCCACCCACAGTTTCTCTACCAGATCTCTAAAGAACGCAAGTGGCTTGAAGATGAGTTGTCCACGAGCCTTAATGATATTGACCAGGTTGCGTACCAAAATGTCAAAGAAAGTTGGGTCAAGCAGAAGATCTGGAATCCCGAATGGACTGAGATGCCAGGAGACACGTGGATGCACGAAAGGCTTGGTATAGACAAAACACAGAGTTTGTTCCGCACAGGGGCTTTTCAGGACATGTTTCCTCCCTGTGTTGAAGTTATTTTGGTCGGCAGCGACGACAACAACATGTACCAAGAGATGAACAGTGGTTTGTCTCTTCTCTCTGGTGCGGGACCCTGCACAGAGCATGTCCCTTCAAGAAGCGAAGGCCAGCAAGCAGGCGAGGGCGAAGCAGGTTTCAATGTTGATGACGGTGGTAGCCTGGTGACGATGAAACCTGAAACGTTGACCCATCAGCTGAGACTTGGACCCGGCTCTGGAAATCAGGATGCCAGCACCTCACCTTGGTCGGGGCGGCTTCGACAATGCAAACGAGTTGACTACAACGAGAACGCGGCGTCATTGGGGATGCACCAGCCGAGTCCAGATGTGACACTTCCCCGACAGAAGAAGTCCAACCCTGACGTCGCCGCCCACCACGATCCCGAAGAAGGAGTTTCCAGTGGCACAACCACCTTTGCGATTAAAGTTAAAAAGAAGTCACTTCAGGCGAAAAAGCACATCTCTAGGCAAACTGTCGAGAAGACTTCCTCTGCTGGTGCCGGTGCTCCCAAAACTCTTGCGCCAAAGGTGAGAAGTGATCATGGAGGACGAGATAGTCTTCGGGTTACAAAGCGACGCAGAACAGACGAGGCCACACGTTTTGACCCTAATTCACCTGCCTCTACACTACGATCTAAGAGACCTCAGGGTCTCAAGAAAGGTCAAGCCAAATGAATGGCGCAGTACATGGGACTTACAGGATCTTAATGCCACAGAACTTTGATCCCTGTGGCATCAGAAGTCTGGACATTTGAAGCCCACACGGTGGTCAGAGATCTATGGTAACAAAACAAACAAAAAACGCGATACGAGTTACCAATCCCAAGGTATAGCTGTACCTAGACAGTAATAACACAGTCCACTATGATTAGCGATCACAACCAAAGCCCAATGATCCCTGTGGGCATGACCCACCGAAGTCTAGAGTAGCGCCTGTGGGTTCCCATCCCCCGCCCCTCGACCCCTCCCGTACCCCTATGTAGTTTCCAAGTAATATGTAGACAGACATCTTTGACGCCTTTGGAATTGCTGCCTGCGCACGCTCCACCCATAATCAAACATGGGAATCTAGCCGTCTCGCCGTGCAACCTCAAAACCTGATGAGAGATTTTGCGACTGACCGTCAAAAAGCGGAAGCATGCATGCGGCATGCACGCAAAACCTAGCCTTGGGCGAGCGACAACCCACGGGTGTTTTATCATTGCCAACCAGGCAGCCAGGGTGTCTATTGGTGGCGCTGCCTTGAGGCTCTGAGTCTCTGGAGATCTGAGGCTCCCTGATTTCCCTAGTGACTACCTAATCACAACCAACAAGTCTTGCCAGGTAGATTTTGGCTTCGAAATACATGCATGTCGCTTTCTCGCTGCGTACGTATGCCAGGTGACCAGTACGGCTAACCAAAGGTGTTTTTGCCTACTGGCCTACATAGGAATTGGTATCTATGTATCATGTACTCTGTTTGCACCCCGGTACGCAATACTACTAGTACATGTCCACCTTCGTGCAGCGGGCGCATGTTTGGTTCTCCTGCTCTTTGTCTGCCTCTTTCTTCAGCTGAGCCCGCACATATACTGTACGTCACGTATACATACATACATACATACATACATACATACATACATACATACATACATACATACATACATACATACATACATACATACATACATACATACATTGACAGGTACCTAGTAGGCAGACACGCAGCTACGTAGATACACGGAGACGCACTCGCTCACGGTCAGCAAGGTACGCAACGCAACGAAACACTCTGCCCTCCCTGTACGTATGTATGTACGTATGTATATGTACGGTATCCGTTATGACGCAGCGACTCTTATGTGCTTGTATCCCTGATTCTTGATCCCTGGTTTCTGGTCTCTGGTCTCCCTTGATTCAAGAGTATCCACCCCTCCTTTGGGCGGGCGCAGGCAAGAGGCGGGCAAGCGAGTGAAGCCTCAAGGCGGGAAGCAAGCAAGTAACGAAGCGGCAGGCAGGCAATCAAGCAACCAAGTGTAGCATGCATGGAAGAAACCTGACACGGAGGGAACTGTCCAAACTGGCTCTGCTCTTTTGGGGACATGTCCACAGCTACTGTTTAGCCACTGAGAAGGTCCGCTCAAAGATAGATCGAGTGCCTCATCATGATCTCTGCCTTTCGGGACCCGCAATCTCTCTCTCTGTCTGTCTCTCTGGCCCAGCTGAATCGCTCGTAGCAAACTGCTGAACAACCCTATTCCATCCAAACGATCCAAACCTCCCACGGGGAAAGGAGACAATGATCGGGCGACGAGGTCAAACCAACCGGCCAACCTTTCTCCTTCAGCACGATTCTCAATTCTTTTTTGTTTTGAGCGCCGCAGAAATCCCCCGATGATGAAAATCGGCAGATGTGTACAAATTCCTGAATGAAGCCCTTCTCCCCCAACCTCAACACCACCAAACCCCCCACCCTCTCCTCGTAAGTCTTTACTGCTCGTCCCATCTCGTCCCATATCGCTCTAGTTCGTTCATGGATCCGTCTTGAGCTTCTTCGAGGAGCCCGCTCCGTTAACCCTTTTTCCCTTCTTCGTGCTACCGTCGTTGTCTTCGGCAGGCTCACCAGCAGTGCCCGGAGCGGTGACCTCCTGCTTCTTCCTCCCTCTCTTCTTGGGCGTCTTTGGCGGCTCCGCGGGCGTACTCGCCAGTTTGTCCTGTGCGGCCTCCAGCATGCTGGCAACTCGACCCATGACGTCCCAGTGGAAGCGCGGGTTACTTGTGGCGATATGCTGGAACACTGGATCCGTGTGGTACGAGCGAAAGTGTCGGCTTGCGGTTTTGGCGAGGACTTTCCACAGCTCCGGGTCCTGTTTCTCAGAGACCGTGTATTTATCTGGCGGTGAACGCAGGTCACTACCAGTACCGCTGCTTGAGCCAGTGTTGCCGACGCCGACATTGGCGCTCATGGCACCATCGCCCGGACTGTCCGTGACAAAGAAATGAGAAAGACACGGCAGTAACGCCTCCTTCACCATCCCGAGGACTTCCGCGATCTCATTTGTGGCTTTCTCGCGGAGTACGGTGATTTTGTACTTGTGAGCAATGAGATACATCTTCGCGTGCAGCGATATTGGAGAAGAACCCATGTAACCAGTGTCCTCCTGAGCATCGTCGGGTTCTACGTCAGGGTCGGAAACCGCTTCGTCAGAGTGACCGGATGCGGAGGCCTTGCCATGTTTCATCAGACTTTGTATGTCAAGCCCACTGGTGTCAGACGCAGGCTCATCGTCGTATTCGTCAGTGTACCACCAGAGGATCAAGTGGGCGATAATGGCTGGTTCATCACCGTCAAGATGCACTTCGTGCCGCTTGCTACCCTATTGAGTTGGAGAAGTCTCCGTTAGTTGATGTTAAGCTGACCAGGACTTGAAGGGGGTCAAAACTTCACCTGGGGTGCGTTGCTGTAAAGTTCCAAAAAGGATTCGGAAGAGTCAGTGATGACATGACTGTGCACTGCCCATCGATAGTCATTGACAATGATATCGACATTGGGTTGACATTCCTTCTTGAGGCATGAGGAAAAGCTATCTCCTTGTCAGACGATGGATGAGTACACAGAGTGCTGCTAGGTGCATACGTCCTGAGGTCGCTCTCCGTGACAGCCATGTCAAGTATTCCGATGCCACCTGAAAGCTCACTTCACGTAGGTAGTTGGAGTGGTTGTCTAAACCGTACTTATAAGTGTCAGTCAAAAAGATAGGAAGGATGAGAAGTGATAATAAAGGTCAGAGGAATGCAAAGCGGCGAAGAGCAGACGTGCACAGATTGAGATTTATGTCACTGCACCGATATAGGTGAGAGGGCTTATAGCAGCATGAACCGAGTGAGTGAGTGCAGACAAATGATTTAAAGTCAAGTGAAGGTGAAAAGATCAAAACACAGACGGTGCCGAGTTAGTGCCAAGATAGGGGAGACATATATTGAAATTATTGGGAAAATCCAATACGGCTGAGGCGCAAGTGACACCGTTTGGCTTGAGATATAAAGAGAGAGTGAGTCATAGACAATATCTATGCGAGAAAACTGCCACGGCATAACATGTACGCACACCTCTAGTCTGCCTTTCCTGGTTCTCAAAGAATAAGACAGGTCTGAAATAGGTATGCTCTTAACTCAGCAGTTGGGCACTCACAGCGAACATCAACTCGAAAGCAGAGTTTGCTGACAAGAGCTTCTAACCACCAAGCCTCGATCTCGCGCGTAAGAAATGCTCCGAGGCATTCCATGACTTGTGATCTCCGACCATGGGGGATTGTTGCGGTCGCAGACGTAGTTGCTCTGTTCTGAGTCGCGCTGTTGAAAATAAAGGAAAAGCTGAGAGACCTTGAGAACAATTTGGTTTGTCGGGCTCTATTGGGGTATCTTTTGAGGAGTGGATAAATATACAATGTTGTACAGCACTTACTGCACCAAATGTCTTAATTTTCGGCTGACATCTTCAAAGTCTTGACTTGCCATTCATTCGGATCTCGCTCGACCCAGTCTTTCCTTTCCCCCAGGACACACATAGACCTCAAATCCGAAGGGAGGTCCACGAGGTACTTCTGAGCGACTGACTGCACAGCCTCCTTCGTGACACTCAGTAAGCGTTCGCGCATTTCCTGGTCCATATCTTCGGTGATGCCGTACATGAACTCTTTACTTGCTTCGCTGCTCACGCTTGTGGGGGCGTCAACTCCTTGAAAAATGCTTAGCTTGCTCTCCTCAAGCTCGCGGCCGCTCCAGTCCCTATCACGGGCATACAGTCCCGCGCGCTCGAACACACTCAACGAAGTGCGAGGATTGGGATCTCGATACGACGACATGGTGAACAATCCACTGATCGGGCTCGCGCTCGCCGACGCACCGTATGCGCCACCCTTCTCTCGCACCTCGGGATGGAGAAAGTTGTGGACCAAGAGCTGGCCAAGCACAGTGAGTGGTGCTTTGTCTGGTGAATTATAGGGTGCGGTTTGGAGGCATGTTCCCGTATAAGAGACTTGAAATGGCAGGTCGAAGAAAGCTCGTCGTGAAAGTGACGAGCCCGGTATCACACTCGATAGAACCGAGTTACTCACTGATGGCTGGGCTCGTGGTAATTGGGCAACGAAGTTCTGAATGAGATCTCGATTGCCCTTGACCGAGGCAGCTTCACACACGACACGCAGCGACAAGTCGGCCGAGTTGGCGATTGCTATCGATTGGATGGTTTGCAGGTTCTGTATGACCTGCACCAAGCTTTCTGGATCACGTCTGGCTTGATCCAGTATGCGAGCAGTGGATTCTATTTGCGAGAGTCCAGAGAGCTGGTCCTGAATCCACCCTCTTTGTGTCAGCGCAGCAGAAGCGCTCGTGACGGCGAAGTGGTGACCGCTTTCCGCAACTGTATCCAGAGCCCCGGAAGCCTTAGATTCCAGAAGCTCCCGAATTGCAGCAATAGCTCCGGGACTTGTAAAGTCAATATCCAATAGCAGTGTGCGGATAAGATCAAGCATTGCTGGTACATTCCTGTCCAGCGCATAGCCATCCACCAAGAGCCCTTCATTACATTTGTCCAGACTCCACGGATCGGGCGCCGCAAATGAGGACACCGTTATGCCGCCGGTCTTTAGAAGAATTTCGGCTTCGAGATCTCCCACAGACGTTGTTTTGGTGCC